GACCGTGGCCGCGCCTGGGAAGTCCCGGGACCCAAACCACCGCTCTGTGCTGCTTTTGAAGCGCGTCCAAGCCCATCACCCTGAGCCTGGCGTCCTCCCACGGAGTGATGCCGCCGATCCGCCCCACGAGCCAACCCAGCGACGTCTCGTCCGCGCATCTTACCACCGCCGCACCGCTCCTTAGGGAGGTGCTGTGGAATCTGGGCACCGGACCCTCTTGGATCCCGTCGATCTCTTTCGAGACCGCACCCCTCAACAAAGTCAACTGCTCTGCAATGGTCTCTGCTTTGGGGTAGCCCTCCGCCACAATCACCCTCGCCAGAGGGTCAGCAGCGTCCGCATAGACATGGTGCCCATCATGAGCTCTTTGCCTCTGCAACAGACGGCCGCCCGATGGAGGGGTTTCATTGGAGCCCTTCCGACGTTTACCATCGGTGTGCCCCTTCACCACCTTTGCCGGCGTACAAGGGGGAGCCACGGGAAGAGAGCGAGCCTCTTCCAGAGCCCCTGCTCTCATCCGTTTTGTCCTTCTTCTTTCGGCCCCGCACCGGTTTTTCTTAACTGTAGGTAAAGCCTCCTGCCGCGCAGCCGGCCGGCTTCACTTCCGGAGCCCTTAAGGGTCCCGTCCGTCACCGCCGTCCCAGCTCCTTCCCTCGGAGACCCGTCACGCGAGCCCTCCCGATTTCCCACTTCGTCCTCTAAGTTTAAATTATTAAGAAAGTCCATAGTGGTCCTACGAGTAGCTAGGGAATTACACGGTCCGCCTACGCAGAGCCCCGCATGCGTGGGTAAGGCTGGATGCTCTGGGGTTTCGCTCGGTTTCCCAGAGGCATTGTTCGCGACACTGCTCCCCCAGTGACATGCAGCCATCGCCACGATGGCTTACAACTTGGCTTGGGGAGCTGGTCCGCGGCAACGGCCTTCCCTTACCCTCCACAAGATTTTATTTCCTTGGGGCCAGGTTATAACCGCCACTACCCAGCAGCACTGAGTCCTCTCAGAGAGCTTACACCTACTGGGCGTCCTCCTATCCGCCACCTTGAAGACGCGCCCGGTAGGTAGCTCAACCCCCGGGTATACTTTGTTTGAGCCTCTGTGAAGTTTTTAGAAAAGAATCTGAGAGGTTCCCAATTTTTATTAACGATTTGCTGTAGTAAGGCACCCATTACTGTGTTTGATGCGTCGGTGAATAGAGATAGTGGTGCGTTTTCGCATGAGTGAGCTAACATAGTTGCGTTCGCGAGAAGATTTTTGCAGTCCTCAAATGATTGTTGTGTGACATCTGTCCAAACGATTGGTCGTTTATCGTTTTTCTTGGTTCCTGCAGTGAGTTTGTCGAGAGGAGATAAGACTTTTGCAGCATTTTTTAGGAACCGTCTATAAAAATTCACCATTCCGCTAAATCTACGCAGACTTGCAATGTCTTTAGGTTGACTGTACTTGGCTATGACTTTTACCTTCTCCTCCAAGGGACGGATGCCGTGCTCGTTCACTAGATGCCCAAGGTATTTCACTTCCGAGGCACCAAACACGCATTTGGCCATATTGAGAGAGAGACCGTATTCTCGTAACCGTTCAAAGACGTTCCGTAGATGTTTTTGATGAGTCTCCTCGTCTGGTGAAGCAATGAACAAGTCATCGATGAATATAAATACGAAGTCCAGTCCTCGTAGAACAAAATCGAGAAATCTTTGAAATGTTTGTGGTGAGTTGCAGAGTCCAAATGGCATCGTGTTGAACTCGAACAGTCCGAACGGTGTTCTTATGGCTGTTTTAGATCGGTCCTCTGGTGCTACTGGAACCTGTAAAAATGCTCTTAGTAAATCTAGTACAGAAAATACTTTACTACCTCGTATTCGATGTGAAAAATCAGCCAGATGTGGTACTGGATACATGTCGCGTATCGTCCTCTTGTTGAGTAGACGGTAATCTCCGCAGGGTCGCCATCCATCCGTCTTTTTTGGTACAAGATGTAGTGGACTGGCCCAGGGGCTCTTTGAGTGTGAAACGATACCCAGTCGTTCCATTTCTTCGAATTCTTTTTTGGCGGTAGCGTATCTTGATGGTAACAGACGTCGAACTCTTTCTGCTACAGGTTGACCACGAGTTTCTATGTAATGCTGGACATGGTGAGACTTTTTCAGCGGTTGGGTTGTTGGACGAGTTATGTCGATGAACTCTTGTATGAGATCTTTATATTTCCCATGGTGTAAGAAACAAGGTGAACCGTTCCGGAGGATGCGCAATCGTCCAACAACATGGCGGTAATGGCGGATCTGTAGCAACCAATCAAAATTTGATTCAGAATAACATAACCATAACAACATTCTCTTATTGCACACATGGTGCACATGGTGTATTGATCGGCTTGGATTTGGATCAAAAGAAAATTAAAATTTTTTTTAACGCAAATCATGCCAACTTGCTGTGTACTACATTGCAAAAATCGTACCGGCATTTATGAAAAACGGAGTGTTAAATATTTTACATTTCCTAAAGAGCCTGCTGTTCGGCAGCAATGGTTAAACGCTTGCAAATTAAATGAGCGTAACATCAAGGTTGATTCTGGTAAGTAAAAGTGATACAAATATTATATTTTTATATTTCTTACGTGATTAGATTTGGTTAACGTCACGTGTTTTAAATGTGTCAGCAAAAAGATTATAAAACATTATGATTTACAGCTAGGGTATGTGACATGCATTTCACAGAGAGCTGCTTCGAAGTGAAAATGACAAATGAAAAGAAACCGACGATAAATGAAAATACCAAAGAAACTGAAAAAGAGTTTGATACCAACAGAAAATCTATTGCTGGAAAAGCAGGATAGAACTGTGTTACGTTCCAAAAGACAAAATGTTAGGTAAGAACATAAAGGAAAGAAAATGAGTAAAAAATATAATTAGAAATATTTCACATACAAACTGCACACACAAAATGTTATACATTATTAATGAATATATGTAATTACATTATGTTGCAGACAAAACGTAGGAATGCCAAGCTTTTGAATGCAAAACTTGTGAATTCCTATAGAACTTGGGACATTGTACCAGAAGTACATCAGGTATTACAGGCAGCGGAGACACCGCAGGCAGCGGAGACACCGCAGACAGCGGAGACACCGCAGGCAGCGGAAACAACGCAGACAGCGGAGACATCGCAGGCAGCGGAGACACCGCAGGCAGCGGAAACACCGCAGGCAGCGGAGACACCGCAGGCGGCGGAGATACCGTAGGCAGCGGAGACATCGCAGGCAGCGGAGATACCGCAAACAACAAAAACATTTACGGACTACATAGAGGATGAATGTGAAAAACGAGTTGACGTGTGCGTAACTGAAATTAAATTTAACAATTTATTAATAACACTTACTCTTTTTTTCAAACAAAACTATTTTTTATTTAAAAACAAACTTTCCTCATGACTTTCCGAGTAATTGATTAAATTAAATTTACTCTGGCATATATTCTGTTATTTCTTAATTCTAAAAGAATAAACAGAGTTTATTCTTTTAGAATTAAATGTAATATAATGTATAAAATTTCATAATTTGTAATATTCTACAGGAATGAAACCAATGTTACCAAGTTACAAGAAACCGTTAATACATTGCTCGAACTTTTACAAAAGAATGTAGAAGAAAAAGACCAACTAATGGAAAAACTCACCGCTGTTGAAGGAAAGAATTTGATACTTCATAAGGAAGTACAACAATTAAAAAAACAATTACAGGATACTACAGAAGAAATGGTTGCAGACAGACAGAAAAAAGGTGAAAAAATAGCTGTGGACATATTGCGAAAAGTATTTACACCGGGACAAATTAAATTACTTATGTCTCCACATCCAGCCTGAATTCGTTGGTATTCTGAAGACATAACAGCAGCTATTGCTTTACGTTCCTTAAGTCCTAAAGCATACCGGTATTTGAGAGAAGTAAGGAAAATACCACTACCTTGCGAAACAACTCTTCAAGAATGGTGTTCTACTTTCAATGTGAAACCTGGAATTTTGAAGGATGTATTAATAATTATGGAGGAGAAAGGTCAAGGACTTTCTAGGACAGATAAAGTAACTGTTTTGACTTTCGATGAAATTTATATTTCCAATAAATTGGACTTGGAAAGAAGGGAACAGAAAATTTATGGTCCACATAAGACTTGCCAATTTGTTATGGCACGAGGTCTTTTTAACAATTGGAAACAACCGGTTTTTTATGATTTTGATCGACCAATGAGGAAAGAAATACTTCTCAATATTGTGCAAGAGCTTTATAATGTGGGCTACACGATTGTTGCAACAACATGCGACATGGGACCAATGAGTATGGTCCTCTGGAAAGAATTAAACATCGGTATAAATATGCCAGATATTAGTAGCATAGATAGTAGCAAGAAACCAAAGAAACAAAAAATTGTCGACCAGCAGTGCTATTTCGAGCATCCTGCAGATGCCAACTTAAAAATTTTCTGTTTTGCTGACGTTCCCCATTTAATGAAATTAGTAAGAAACAATTGATTTGACAATGGTTTCCACGTTGATGGAGAATTTATTAACACGGATTGTCTGGAGGAATTACTAACACTTAATGCGAAAGATTTAAAAATTGCACACAAGCTGAGCAGAAGTCACCTCGATGCTCAAAATGCGCAAAGACAAAATGTAAGTCTGGCCGTGCAAATTTTTTATTAAATGCATCGTGCATTAAGTGGTGCGGAAGTCAAGGACTTTTACGTTCGCAAAATTGGCGTAAAACTGCCGATATACTTGAAACATTCAATGATTGGTTCGATGTATGTAACACTCACATGAAATACGGAAAACACAGCGGGCTCCGAGGTTATGGTGTAAATTTAAAACAACAAAATAAAATTATTGATAACATGAGCCACTTGATAACAGAGATGCGTGTAGGGAAGCGACGTAGCTTAATGCAATTTCAAAAAGGAATTTTGCTTTGCAATACGTCGCTAAAGCTTCTGTTGCAATATCTGCAAGATAATTTCTCAACAGAGTCATTTAAAGTGGAGTACATCCTAACAAGGCGACTAAATCAAGATGTTCTGGAAAATTTCTTTTCATATATAAGATCAATGGGCGCGACTAATAACCATCCAACACCAGTTGAATTGCGAAATCGAGTAAAATGGTACATTTTAGGAAAACATTCCGGACATGTTATTTCTCGGCATGAAAATACAAAAGGTGACGGATCAACATCCTTGATTTCTGTAAAAGATTCCCATGGCATTAATTCCATCACACACTTTTCTTCTCAAGATTTGCTAGAAGATGAAATATTGGTCACAGAAAAAAGTTTATTTTTAACAATTCCAGGAATTTCAGAAGATTTGATTGAAGAAGAAAAAAATTAATAAAACACGAAAGGAAGAAAAAGAAATAGAATTCGAAGATAATGAAGAGCATGGGAAAGGTATACCTTTTACATTAAAATTATATTCGTCGTGTTAATAATTATACTATGTATTAATTGAAATTGTACGTAATTCAACTGTAACAATAATTTTACATAATACAATTTCATTCAATATCATTTGATGATAATATCATCATCAAATGATATCAAATAAAATTGTATTATGTAAATGTCTAGATTTTTTTTTGTTAAACCTTTGCGTAGCACAGCAAAACAAACATCGGATCACACATTTTACATTATAGGATCACATAATGTGAATATCAAATAATTAAATAATCTAAATTGTATAAATATTTTAAAAATCAGTGTTACATTTTCAGTATTTGATGCACAAAGCTATAAGCCTTCAGTCGAAGAAATATCTTTACTGGAAAGCTTAGAGAAAGAAATATCTTGTCAGAAGATAGAAGATAATGCTTTGCAGTACATCGCTGGCTACGTGGCATATAGATTTAAACATAAATATGATTTCTTGGGCGAGCCCACATTGTTGCTGCCGCAATTGGAGGATAACTGGTTATGTTTCCTCTCTAGAGGCAACTTAATTTACCCTTCGATGAAGTGGCAAGAAGCGGCAAACATTATAAATAAAGAATTCATACACTTTCACGGGAATACATTTCGAAAAGAATATAAAATTTTTGACAAACTCACAGATATAGTTTATAATAAAATTTCTAATATGAATATAGTATTTTCGCGAGAAGTGATCGCATGTTTAGTTAGAACAAGAACTTATATTAGATTAAGAAGATTGAATAAAGAAATTATGGCAAACAATGCCAAAAGAAATATCAGAAAAAAATGTACACACTTACTAATAAAAAATAATTAAGTTAACAAAATATTGTACTTTATTATACTCACATTTTATTTCTTTATTATATTCTTATATTCTTAAGTTAAATTACGTAGGTTTGAATTATCTATTATTTTATTTCTTTATAATATTCCTTTTGCCTGTGTCCTGGATAAATTACGTAAGTTTCAATTATTAATTATTTTACTTGTTTTCGTCATATTAATACTGAAGTATGTACATATATCTATCATATTTATATATTTTTTAAATGTTAAATTAAACAAAAATGGAATTTGTGGTTTTATTTTAATGCAGCATGTTGCATGTATGCAACTTTTTCAGCTGTTTCCAATACACTATAATAACATTTGAATTTTCCGCCACAAAACTGGATCAAATTTCTATTGGTTATCTACACATCACGTGGGTTATCATGCGCAACGGTTCACCTTATTTCTTACACCATGATATTTCCTGTTGTTGATAATTGAGATCGATGGTGTTATTGCTTCGACGAGACGTACGTGCGAGTACAATCTGGTCTTCCCATCTATGAGCTTTTGATTGTTCAAGTCTACCAGTAAATTGTGCTGTCTCAGGAAATCGGCTCCGAGAATTGGCTGAGTGACGTCGCAAATTATGAAATTCCAACCATACTTCCTCCGTAGATTGAGGTTAAGGTCGAGTCGTGCCTTCCGGTATGTGCGTATTGGTGTACCATTTGTTGCGAAAATACTTTGATTAGTTGATTGTGTACACTTTTTAAAGAAGGATTTAGGTAATACTGAGATGTCTGCGCCAGTGTCGATTAAGAATCGGACATTATTGTTGGTCGGTAATGAGCAGGCGATTTTGTGTTATTTCGTCGAACTAGCTAGTTTTCCTGCTTTTTGACCGTACAGGGCGGTGACAAATCGAGACTACATTTCTTAGCTTCGGTGCCAAAGGTTTGGTGGTACCAGCACCATCCGTTTTGCCCGTTACGATTATTATTGTACCGATTTCGCGACTGGCTTCTGTTCCTACGCTGATTCCCGTAATTTCTGTCTTGACTACGTCCACAAGATCGATGTTGCCTTTGTCGAACTTCAGTTTGCAACGCTTCTACCTTGGTTGAAAGCGCTGAGAACATATTAAAAATTATTTCTTGCATTTGATTAGTTTGTCCGTGTGGTACTTGCAGTACTGGTAGCTGTCGTGCTTGAGTCGTTGGCTGCGCAAACGGTACAAGTTGTCGCATACTAGTGTCGACTGTTGAAATTCCGATATTCATGGCGTCCAACATGTCTGCCATTTTTGCCAGTGTGTCGAGAGGAATAGTCTCATCGACTGACAGCGTGAATCTGATGTACGGCGGAAGCTGTTCCATAAACAGAATTTTTAAGAATCATCGCACATACCTGCTGAATGATTCCTTATCCTTCGCAGAAACGTCGAAGGTTTGTCCGTACCGAGCTCATGGGATTGTAGCAGTTTTCGAAGATGTGTCATTTTTGAGTCTTGGAATGAGCTGATGATACGGTTTTTTAATGTCTCATATTTGAGGCCGTCCGCGGGAAGTTTTGTCCATAAGTCTTTGACATGGTTATATACATCGATGTTATGTTCAATTACGTAATAGCTATTACGTAATTGAATCTTCTTTTGTAATTGAATCGCTTTTAATGTTGTAGATTTCAAAAATTATTTTGATTTGCATGAACCATGACTCTGGATCTTCCTTGTGAAAAGGTGGAATTTTTACCATTTGCATGGCATTGACGAAGGGTTGATTGCCTTGTAGCGAGGACTGAGAGTCGCTTATACTCGGTTGATTTGGGCCCTCTTGATTGCTATCAGCTGTTAAGTCTGTACCGGTATCTTTGGTGTTCATGGTTGATTTTTTTCTCTTTGCAGAGTTTCCA